ATATCTTTGAGCAATAATCTAATATGAGTTTATTGTGATTGATAATGATCAACAAGGCAACATTGTCTTAAAACTATTTCTATTTCTTTGCAATCATGTGATAAATAGGTTCTTGCTATATATACAGCAGATTTGAAAMTGAACAACAAAGAYYAATGAAAACAGTCGTTCAACGAGCAGCAGTGTTTATTCAAATGTAAAAGTTTTTAATAAAACACATGGTTCGAATTTTTTATATGGCATTAAAAACCTCCAGCCTAACAAAACCCAGAATTTGAAATAAAATAATCGAAAATGTAAAAAAATTAAAAGTTCAAAACTGCCTTAGGCCATTCTGATCATCATGCGCATAATTTCCCATGTATGCACACTGAGGATTTACGTTTCACTTTTGACAAATTTTTTAAAGTTCATGGGAAATACCGTTTCTTGATTTTATATACAAGTTCATTTCCTTGGTCCGTTCTGACCGCATGGTTGAACTCATGAATTATTAATGACTTTGGATGACTTTAGTATGATCTTTCATGTCCTCACACTCATTCTACTTCTTTGGACTAACCACATGCGCTTCTTGAGCGCCTTTAATTCAATTTCGTAAACAAGGATTTCAAGCCGAGAAGATAGCGATAATTTCAAAGTGATTATTTCTAAGAATCTTGGAGGAGCTTCATGGGCAATAGCTACCCTGCGAACAGAAGAGTTTTTTAAACCCTCTCCCAAATCACTAAAAGACCTTTTGGTCAGAGCCAAAACACCTTCCATTTAAATAGGCAACCAGTTTTTTTGAAAACGGCGAGTGTAGAAGGTGAAGGCAGTGCCATTTTATCATAAATGTTCTACTAAAATCACTTCGGTGACTTTAGCATTTGCCCCCGTAAGTACTCTTTCTCTACATTCCGTCCGTGACAAAGGATTATTTTCACAAGTCCGCCAGGCCATTATTCTGCTGGTTTTAGACTATTTTTAAAATTGTCAAAATAATAATCGCTCAACTACTACCGTGTAGTATAAATGTTATATATATATAAATATATTAAATACTTTGTAACATATTTTTGCAAAACAAAAATGCTCTCATTCATTGAATTAGGGATGAATCATTGAATGAATGAAGGAATGGCACTAATCTTTAACCAAGAGAAGTAATGTACATATACTGTGATTTCGTAAAATAAAACAATGATTATAAAAGTAATCATAATTCTTACCGCTTATCATTAGCACATGCGAAATTCGCACTTATAACAGGTGGACTCCTTGGCACMCCTGATGAAATGTATGTATCTTTTCCAGCCTTTAAAAATATGAAATTGCAACTCTTTAAATTAAATATTAGCACACCCACACACACTTATTACAATGCCGTGTTTATTGCTGAAATAGCTTTTTTCATGTACTTCATGTTATATAATAATAATCGATAAAATAATAACTTATTCAATAATTCTAAGGCACAAATTTTGCATATGAATATGGTTAAATGAGCAATTAAATAAATGGATGAYCATTAACTAAAGGTGGTCTGGGACCCATAGATCCCATCGACATAATTCCTTAACTTTTGAATTTTTGTGAATATCCATTTTGTTTGCAAAACGACACAAACAAGAATCCACAAACAGAAAAGATAACTGGCATAAGATTTTGAATGCTTTAGGGAAAAATCTTTGGTTCATCTGCACATGTAATAAGTGTACAAAAAATCTTGGTATGTTAATCTTAAATCTGTCTGTAATGGGGGCTAAAGCCATTTCAAATCGTCAAGTACCTGCACACTACTGCTCTAGAAACTTAAGGTTGAGCCCGGCCCTTAAATCAAGTACACAAATACAGTCATGTTTGTTATTGTAAATAGATGATGCTAAAAAGTTTACCGGGTTGAAGAGGGCTTGGACTATAAACTTAACGTCATCTGGTGATGATGGGTCATCCCAGGCAAAGGGCAAATCACATAACTTCGATCTCTCAAGGGCCATTTTACAGGTGTAGTCTATATGCGTAATGAAAAAAAGGATCTCTTAGTTTAACAACATTTTATCACAAGTATATGTTTTAYTYACTATCTTGCTGCTGACTGGCTGGCATCCTACAGCCAATCCCTGATAGTGTGTAATTCCAGAAATTATCCATACCCCTACCCCCACATCTGTTGGGTCTTTGTAATAGTCCATGTATTGATTCTAAAGRATAAAAAAATTACCTTTAATGTCTGCATTTCCTGTTATGGACATGCATGCCCTTAAAACAGTGATTTTAGATGTTTCTGTGTCCCCTGTAAGTAAGACTACAGGACATGAGCCTACTACTTGGACGATTCTTTGGTATCCAAGGCTCATGACCGTGCCCCCCCAAGGCAAGACATGCTGCAGGGAAGTTACTTGTCAGCAGGTCCTTCATACATTGGAGCAGCTCTTTTAGACCATGTGCACCTAATGGCATTACTATGTTGGAAACAATTTCATCACAACCTGAAATTAAAAAAATAGCCCATCACATCCTAAAAGATATCAAATTCACATATTAATAACATTCCGAAATAATATTCCACTCCATTGTAATTGCTGAAAACCATACCCTGTTTGGTTGCACGTACCCGTGTGGTGAATACAGGGGAGTACTTCAGAAGCAGATGTGTTAAATTATGCAAGAAATAGCTTTCTGACAAGCCTTTTTAATTTATTGCATTTGATGATCATTAAATTTCACAATTTAGAAAGTTGGATACATGCAGAATAACACACAACATCCAAAACATGTACTGCATTACATAATTAAAAAAAAAAACAAAGAGAGAAGTAAACTCAAACTTAGAATTACCTCTTCCTTTAGAACGGCCTGCACTTCGATGAAGGACATAACGTTCGTTCTCTGGAAGGCTTGTCTTTGTAGCTGGACTGAATTGCAGTTCTTTGTTTATTATGAAAGTACYGCAGCTTTGCCATGCAGGGTACTTTATGTTCAAGACAAAATAACAAGAAACATGAAAATTTTAGATGCCTATACATTATTGTCCAGTATTAAAAAATATTACAAAGTCTGTAAATTATTTGACAATTAAAGTCATATGATAAATGCTGATTTTATTCAATAACTCTGTCATTTATTTATTTATTATAACCCCCCCTCCCCCCATATATGTGCGTAAAATATACAACACAACATACGTACACTGGAACAAAAAAATAAATTTTAAGAGCAAGCAAATGCCCTCCCAGCCTGTCATAGGATTATTAATGTTCGTATTATTATAGATTCATAAATAACTCACCAAAGTTGCGACTTTTCTAGTATTCGTTCCTTTGTAATTATCTGCCTGGTGGAACATGTATGTCCCTAAGTCAATGCTTGCTGGGGCATCTTTTGGTACCCTGTACCACAAAGATGAACAACATACACCTTGMAAAATTGACAAAGTCGTTCTTGAGTCACACAGTTGTGCCATTGTCAATGCACAAGTCCTTTAATAGACAAAAGAAAAATCGAAAATTTATTTTGTTGATTATTAAAATCATAAAAAATCACATGATCTCTAGTACAATTCATGATATTTAAACCCTCTCCCGGACCACAGGTGGAGGGGGCACAATCCAAAGTAAGCATATAAATTGGAATGCTCAAAAAATATCTTGAAAGAATACTGAATTATAGGGTATAGTGTAAGAGCTATAATTAAAAATCTAAAAAGATCCCATTTATAAATAATAAATGATAAATAATAGGTTTTTTTTTTGTAATATCAAACAGCTGAGTCGACAATAAAACTTAATCCTTACACCAATCTAGATTAGCAACAACTGTCATAAAAAACTGSAATACATTGGCATTGCACATATGGATTTTCTTTTCCTCGTTYCCCTAAAATTAGGGCATTATCAGGTCTATATTCGAAATTCAATACCCTAAATCATAGCAAGGGGAAACAGGGTAACCCATTGGAACGCAGGAGAGTGCAGGAGATCACAGGGGATCACAGGGGAATGCAGGGGAATACAGGGGAACACAGGGGAACATAAGGGAATACAGGAGATTACAGGGGAACACACGGGATCACATGAAAAAACAGGGGATCACAGGGGAATACAGGAGAATACAGGGGAACACATGGGAATACAGGGGAACGCAGGGGATCACATGGGAATGCAGGGGAATACGGGAATACAGGAGAATACAGGGGAATACAGGGGATCACATGGGAACACAGGGGATCGCATGAAAAAACAGGGGAATACAGGGGAGCACATGGGAATACAGGGGAATACAGGGGAACACATGGGAATACAGGAGAATACAGGTGATCACAGGGGAAAGCAGGGGAATACAGGGGAACACAGGGGATCACATGAAAAAACAGGGGGATCACATGAAAAAACAGGGGATCACATGGGAGTACAAGGGAATACAGGGAACACATGGGAATACAGGGGAATACAGGTGATCACAGGGGAACACTAGGGAACACAGGGAAACACAGGGGATCACATGAAAAAACAGGGGATCACATGGGAATACAGGGGAACACAGGGGAATACAGGGGAACACAGGGGATCTCATGAAAAAACGGGAACACAGGGGATCACATGAAAAACAGGGGAATACAGGGAATTACAGGGGAATACAGGGGAACACATGGGAACGCAGGGGAATGCAGGGGATCACATGGGAATACAGGGGAATACAGGGGAACACAGGGGGAAAGCAGAGGATCACAGGGGAATACAGGGGATCACAGGGGAACGCAGGGGATCACAGGGGAACACAGGGGATCACAGGGGAACACAGGGGAATACAGGGGAATACAGGGAAACACATGGGAATACAGGGGAACACAGGGGATTACTGGAGAACATAGGGAAACACAGGGGATCACAGACGAATTTAGGGAAACTTTAGAATAGTGGTGTATAAAGTCGGGACAACTCATGTAGTCTTACAYGAAGTACTGACCTTATCAGCCTTGTTCAGAGAGAGTCGACGAGTGTGAATATTTTTTGACTAAAAATCCTTCTTTTATCTCTCAATTATGGATTTTTATGGGCGCATACAGCATTCTCAAGGTAAATTAACTATTGTTTTAGCTTCGTATTATTTAGTTTTTTAATCTAAAGCGATATTTTAGAGTTAAATTGACCGTACCGAGTTCGGTTGCTCGTCGCCATGTTTTGGCGGGATTCATTCTCAACAATTTAGCTTCAAGTTGAACGATTTATTGCTTGAAAAAACTGAAATATCCCAAATAAAATATTCTTTTATGCTTTTTTGGGGATTTAGCAATTTGTTATGGTAAATTATCTATATTTTGTGTGATTATATTTGATTTTACGGCCTCGTCAAACAGACGTTTGAAGTCAGTTGGGAAACGTTTCCCTCTAAAGTTTGTTTTCCGTGATTTTCTTGAGATGAGATGTTTTCTTGAAAATCCATCCTGAGAGAAGCACTTTATTTCCATTTAGTAAGTTTGAGAATATCTTAAAGTAAGAATTTTACGCTTTCCTTATTTAAATCAAGAATCATAATCTTATAGTTGGCACACAAGAAATAATTTCTTGAATCAAGATTTCACTATTTAACAAATTAGACTACGAGGTCGAGTCTTTTATCAGTCAATTTGACTCATAAAAAAAGAAAACGAGTAGTCTAATTGTTTTAGCATAAACCTACTAGCTAATATTATAGTACTGAACGACGGTCAACCAGCGGCTTTGTTTTCATTCATCTTTGCGATCTCGACTTGATGTCTTAACTTTTTCTATTTTTATAGCTTTCTGTTTCTATTATTACAGTCAAAACTCTGTTTCCAATATTTTCCACCTTTTTATTAGTTCTTGGGATAGTTTGCTTTTTATAAAACTTCTGTTTTTTTCCAGTACTTTTTTTCTATGGCTTTTGTAGTACTGTAATGTATCTCAGTAGACTGAAAACTACGAATACCACAGCTTTAGCCCCATGGAGGTTTAAGCCCCAAAAGCTCTAGCCCTATCTGGCACCCATCCCACCTGGATGGAAATCTAAAGCAGGTATTTAGAAGCTTTTAAAGTTAATTACAAGACTGATAGGGCTTGTAGTTCTAATGAATTTCTAAGTGGAACG